CCCCAAAACCCCAAAACCCCAAAACCCCAAGGATAATAGAATATGAGTGGATATTAGAGTGCAATATTAGTGGTAGGCTAGTATTTTCATAGGAAATGACATTCAACTGTGGTACCCACATTTTCAATAGAGGATAGGTGGATGCTTCCATCCAACTTTTCAATGAGCTTCTTGCAGATTGTAAGACCGAGTCCACAACCAGTCTTGTTTCTGTTGTGGTTTGAACTGAGTTTACCGAAGAGTTTGAACAGAGACTTCTGGTCGGCTTTGGAGATTCCGATACCTGTGTCAATTACTTTTAATGTGATGCTCATTGTCTGTGTAAATTCGCTGTCAAGCTCATCATCATTTCTGAATATGGACCTCTTGGTGTGAAAGAAGTACTCAGTGCAGTCATGTCTACTCAGAATATCGGTTGAGCCTTCTCAGGGAAGATCTAAAAGTAATCTACACTTGCTTACCAACAATGCCTCATTCACTATTCTGTCTGAAATGGTCTTTATAACTATTTTGTTCAGCAGATTTGGACTCCTCAAAGTCTTGTAACTCTAGCTGGTTCAATCTTTCATAAATTTCTATTGTGATTGACCCTCTGTCTGTAAACTTGAGTGCATTAGACACCAAGTTCATAATCACCTGTTTGAGTCTGCTTTTGTCTGACATAATTGGCAGCTCTTTCAGTTTATCCTGGATGTCTATTCTGAGTTCAAGTCCTTTACCATCAGCCTGTAGTGTAAAAACTTCCTGTATTTCATGCAAACACTGAGTAATTGTAAACACTTCTTCATTAATCTGGAACACTCCTGAATCTATCTTAGCATGATCTAGAATATCTTCAACAAGCATCCCCAAGACATTTCAGGATGATGAAGCGATTCTAACAAATCTGTTTCATTCTCCTAAATCTTGGATTCGCATGAGCTCAAGAGAAGCCATGATGGAGTTCAGAGGCGTCCTAAACTCATGGGACACATTCGAGAGCATCTGGCGCTGGTAATGATTCTGAGCCTTGGCTTCTTCAAGCTGGCTGATTTGAGTTGTCTCAATAAACATGTGAATACAAGAAAGATCTTGCTCTGAAATACCAGCTACATTGACTAGTGTTGTCTTTACAAGAAATTCTTTGCTCCGGAAATCATATAGTTTACCCATTCTGGAAGGATTATATTTGACTTTGATCTTGGACTCCTTTCTCTCATGAAATCCATTAATTACCAATCTTCTTTCTTCTTTTAAAAACGATGAGAGACTGTGTTCATTATCGCTATCCTCATCAATCTTTCTGTCCTCTAAGCCTTCTCTATTCCTACTTAACTGATCAAGCTGGTTGAAATAGTTGATCTGAGGTTGGTTTTCTTTTAAACTCTGACAAGTAGCCGTAAATTTCCCCAAAAATCCATCCAAAAACTCAGTTGCTTCTTCACACTTGCCAGGCTCTCTCTTGCCCGCCATCGGGTATTTCTCTTCCAGCTCCTGGATGATCTGGTCGAGTTTGCGCATTGTCTTCTCTTGGGCTTCATTCTCCATGCCTCTCCAGAGCTCAGGCTGACAAAACTCGGAGAGGCTGAAAGTCTGCTTAATCTTCGGGTTAAGGTACTTGTAAGCATCTTTTATGTCAGCGATGAGGACTCCTTCAGGAAGAGAATTGAGGATTTCCTTCTGGCCTTTGAGGGTGTTCTTGTTATTGTAGTTGGCGATGAACTCATCCTTACAGGTCTGTGAGTAGCAGAACGATCCGAATGTGAAGAATATCAAAGCTAGCACTGAGCAAGGGTAATAGATGTCACTGAGAGTGCCAAACTTGCTCTCTAGCCTGAGTAACCCATAGACATGAAGTAAGCCCTGGTTGATGCAAGCCAGCTTCCAATTTGTAGTCACTCATGTGCTGAAGATTAGAGAAGCAACAATCTGGAACAAGTACCCCTCATTAATCCTAAAATTGATTGAAAACTTACCTGAAATAAGTGAATTTGACATTCATTTCAGTTAAATGCACATAAATTATGGTCGAAAATAGGATTCCTGAATAATTGGCACACCAGTCATGCTTCCTGACTCCTTTCTCAAGAATTTCAGTAATCACAAGTTCTACCACCAGCATTATTATCCTTTGCCAGAAGGGTTCCCTTTGGCTCAGTATAACATAGAGAAGCATCGAGGCTATACCTAATCTGATGACTTTGATGAGGATCTTCCAGTTATTTCCTGCTCTGAATTAGCTTTCTCTTGTAGTATTCTTCCTGTAATTTTGAGTCATTTGGAAACTCATTAAAGGAGTAATTTAGATCTTTGAAAAATCCAATTAAGTCTCTGAGATATTGCTGTTCGAAGAATTTCATAACCTATAGAAATGCTAGTTTTATGTCTATATCTAATTTGATTTTTCTAAGTCTATGATCAAAATATGTTCCCTTAATGGAGAGTAAATATCCAGGTGATGCTAGAAATAGTCTTTAGTCTCTCTGCAACAAGTCGTGTTATTTCTGGGAGTAGAAATTATTAAGAGGAGGTTCAAAGAATTTATTTAATCATATATAAACTCTAAATAAAGACTAAATTTTAATTCAACATTTTGTAAGCTTTCATCAATGTTATGATAAATTTCTAACACCAAGAGTCCAGAACAACAGTGTAAACTGTGAACTACAAACTAATAAAGATCACTACCACCTTACCATTTCTTTAACTTTTAATATAATAATTCCACCGATATTATTCTTGCTGGGGTTTTGGGGTTTTGGGGTTTTGGGGTTTTGGGGTTTTGGGG